TGACCAACATGGCGACGTTTAGTAATTTTTGTAAAAATACAAAAATTAGCAGGGTGCGCATGCCTGTAATCCCAGCTACTTGGGAGGCTGAGGCAGGAGAATCACTTGAACCTGAGAGGCAGAGGTTGCAGTGAGCTGAGATCGCACCTCTGTACTCCTGCCTGGGCAACAAGAATGAAACTCCATCTCAGAAAGAAAAACCCCCCAAAAAAGCAGGGCACCGTGGTGAGATGAAGGCGGGTGCCCAGATGTGGGGTTAGTGGTGGAGAGAATGGGCTAGTGCTGGATCTGTTTCCAAGGTAGAGCTGGTGGGACTTGCTGATGGGATTCGACTTACTGAGGTGGGGAAGGAGGGGGTAGCTACAGGTTTTGGGGGATGAGGAGGGGAAGTCAGGAGTGAAGTGTTTGGTTCTGCATATCACCTCCTGGGCGCCTGTTAGATGCCTGGTGGAGAAGTTGGGGAGGCTCTGCACATGGATGGTTTTAACAACATGGGCTGGGGAGAGGATGCCAAGAGAAAAGAGGAGATGCCCCAGGCACGGCCACGCTAAGGACTGAGGAGGAGGGACAGCCAAGCTGGGGCTGAGGGCTGAAACTCACCAGACTTGGCAACAGCGTCTGGCGATTTTGTGATGAACGATTTTCCGTCACGGTGAAGTGAAGACCTGGTTGAAGGGCCTCAAGGGAGACAGGGAAGCAAGTGATGATTGTGAGGGTGAGTTTTGCTGCAGTGCTGGGGGAGGGAGGGTTTTGTTATGATCTTTCCACAACCAAACCAGAGCAGAAAGCACATCCAGTGCTCACGCAGAGGGACTCCCAGTGAAGGCCTCTTTCTGCAATGGGAAGCCCACAAGGCTAGAAACCAGAAATCGCAACCTAACCCTGCCCTATCGTCAATTTTGTAGGTGACCTTGGGTAGGTTACTTTACTTCTTGGTATTTGTTTCCCTCACCTACAAAATGAGCAGCACAGTCCTGCCTTTTCGATATCGTAGCTGCACAAAAGATTAGGTAACATCACTGATGGGCATTCATGTCCCCAGTTCACTTTCTAGCTCTGTGTATTTGACTGTAAGTACCTCACAGAAGTGGAGCCATGCAGTATTGGTTCTTTCTGTGGCGGACCTATTTCACTGAGCATAGTGTCCTCAAGGTTCACCCATGTTATAGCATGTGTTAGAATTTCCTTCCTTTTTAAGGCTGAATGATAGTCCATCGTATGCATATATCACATTTTATTTATCTGCTGATGGATACTTGGGTTGCTTCCACCTCTTGACTAACGTGAATAGCGTTGCTGTGAAGAGGTGTACAAATCTCTGAGACCCTGCTTTCAATTCTTTGGGGTATATACCCAGAGTGGAATTGCTGGATCAGATTGTAATTATATATACACATACACACATATATGTATGTGCGTTATGTATTTGTCTGTGTGTGCATATATATACATTTATTTATTTATTTATTTATTTTCAGGAACTTCCATACTGTTTTCCACAGCGGCTGTAGCATTTTACATTCCCACCAACAGTGCACAAGGCTTCCAACTCCTCCACATTCTAGACAGCACTTGTAACTTTCTGGTGTATTTGTTTTGATCATAGCCATCCATGGTTTAGCCCATGCTAAGTGATCAGGACGGTCACTGTTATTATCAAGTGAGGTAACAAATCAGAATGTATTTTGAAAACGAATTATATCTGTCAGGATTAAACCAAGAAAACAGAGAACTTTAAAAGGAATTTAGTGGCGGAGATTAGTTATACAGGGGATGGAAAGGCTGAGAAGCCAAACCACAGGAAACCATTAACATTACATCCACCTAGGGTAGAAGACAAAGGACTCAGGGCCACCCAGAGGAAGCCAAGGTGGTGAGGGGCGCTGTGAAGGCAGCTGGAGCGAGAAGCCCAGGTAAGCCTGGAGGAATGTAACCTGTGAAAGGAATCTCAGGCAGACCCCGCTAGGAGGCTCTGAGAAAGAGCAGGGCACGTAGACGTGGCCTGAGAATAGATCAGGATTGACCTGCGCGGGGCGGAGGCGCTTTTCTGAGTGACCTGACGATGAGTCTGGAAACTTGGGCGTGGCGCTGTCCAGAGCACAAGAGTGACACCGAACAGGACAGCAGCACCGAGTCTTGCACACGGGGCGCAAAGGAGTCAAGGATGTTGCCAGGCCTGTGGCCGAAACTGAGAACCGAATAGAGAAGCAGGCTGAGCATGGTGGAGGTCAACCTTTCCTTTATCAACCCCACGGTAAGTGATCAGGATGGTCACTATTACTACAAGTGAAGTGACAAATCAGGACGCGACGTTCCCCAAAAATAAACCACCTGAGTCACACAGGTGTGAACTTTTTTAAAAATTAAATTTTTATTTTGAGATCACTGTAAGTTTGTGTTCAGTTGCGAGAAACATGAGAGATCCTGGGTACCCTTTACCCGATTCCTCCATGTTGCAAAACTAGCACGACATCACCGCCATGGTAGACGCGGTCAGACAGTAGGGCATTTCCATCAGCAGAAGGGACCCTCTTGTGCCCCCTTAGAGCCACACTCACCCTGGCCTTCCAACTAACTTAGTGCTGGCAGGACTTAGCCAGACCGTAAGGACTCCTACTTGGGACAAAGAAGAGGGTCAGGCAATGGGAGGGCGATTGAAGGCGGACTAGCAGCACCCACGCCCGTGGTAATCCGCGACACCGCAGAGGTCCGCGGAGGAAGCACCCACTTCCGCTAGCGCTCCGAATCCCGCCCCTTTCGCCGCGGCCGACCAATTGCCGCCCGAAGGCCGAGCCGCTTCCGTCCGCGGCAGGGGAGGGCCGGAAATGAGCGTCAGCTTTTTCCACCAGCCACCGCCTTGTCCAAGATGGCGGACCTTCACCGCCAGCTGCAGGAGTACCTGGCGCAGGGGAAAGCGGGCGGCCAGGCGGCCGCGGAGCCGCTGCTCGCCGCGGGGAAGGCGGAGGAGCCCGGAGACGGACCGGCGGGGGCGTGGCTGGGCCGCGTGGGCCTGAGCTGGACGTGGTCGCGGAGCTCGGCGGAGTCGGCAGCTGCGGGCCCGGTGTGTCTGCCGAGCGTGACGCGCGGGCAGCGACTGGCGGCGGGCGGCGGGTGCCTACTGATGGCGGCACTCTGCTTCGGCCTGGCCGCGCTCTACGTGCCAGTGCTGCTGCTGCGCGCGCGCAAGTTCGCGCTGCTCTGGTCGCTGGGCTCGGCGCTGGCGCTGGCGGGAGGCGCGCTGCTGCGGGGCGGCGCGGCATGTGGGCGCCTGCTGCGCTGCGAAGAGGCGCCGTCGCGGCCCGCGCTGCTCTACGGGGCCGCGCTGGGCGCCACGCTGTTTGCCGCGCTGAGCCTGCGGAGCACGCTGCTCACGGTGCTGGGCGCGGGCGCGCAGGTGGCCGCGCTGCTGGCGGCGCTGGTCGGGCTGCTGCCCTGGGGCGGCGGCACGGCGTTGCGCCTCGCGCTGGGTCGCCTGGGCCGCGGCGCCGGCCTCTCCAAGGCTCTGCCCGTGTGAGGACTTCGCGCCCGCGCCTCGTGGGAAAGACGTGGAGCTAGCGCCGGCGGAGCCCAGGACTGCACGCGGGTGCCGGGACCCCGCGGCGAAGGCCCTTCGGCGACCGCCTGCGAGTCTAAGCTGGGAGCGGCTGCTGGCACCGGAGGCGACAGCAGCTTCGAGAGCTCTTGAATGTCAGCGTCTTGTGCTGGACTCGGAACGTGCTCTGGAGATTTTGTCATTGAACTGGTGACAGGATGTGAGACGGTTAAGTTACTCTCGAAGTAACTGTGGTCTTAGGTTCGGCTGAGTAAAGAAAAATGGCTTTTCTTCGAATTAGCTGTTCTTGGTCTTTTCTCAGGCTGTTTTGTCATTTAAAAATCCAGTGTTAGATGTAGGTTGGTGACGGTACTTTTTTGACTATACCAAGGCTTGGAAGTTATTCTCTCATGCTTCATTGTCAGCGAATCCAGAAGGGTATCAGATCAAACACCGAATTCAGCCACTGGACTTTTAAAAATACTTATTTAAGATAGTTTATCTTGGGCTTTTTCTTCAGTTAACGAAATCATAAATATAGTGCCTTATAACATGAAGGGAAAATTAGTTCTCTATTTCACGACGAAAGCGATGGACCAAAAGAAATTTCCTGCCCCAAGAAGCATGGGATCCAGGAAGGGACACGTACCTGCTTAGCGGTCTCGAAAGAAATCCTGCAAATAGGAAGATAATTCTACGTCCGGAATTCCTGTATCTGGTGGAAACCATGGATTTCTACAAGCTCGAATTACTCCTCACTTTATGGTCTGCTTTGTAAACTAGTTTACAATTTGCAGGCTGGTCTTAAGATGCGTTTCATATCTAATTGCTCTTTCCTTCATTTCAGGTTCAGCACTTACTTTTACCTACCTTAATTTATTGCCAGTAAGTATGAGCCTAACACTCTTTGAGTCCAGAAAACTACGTCTTGTCAGTAGCAATACATTAGGAAGTAAAATATATTTGGAATATAAACATTCTGTGCCAGTGGTTCTCACGCTTGACTGCTCATCCGTTACTTGAAGAGCCACACCTCAGATCAGTGCAGTCAGAACGTGGGAACTAGGTCCCAGGCATCAGAACCTTTTTTTTTTCTTTTTCTTTTTTTTTTTTTTCCTTTTTGGTGCCATGACTCGGATACATCAAAACCTTTTTAAAGCTCCACAGGTGATTCTGTGTTCCCCGAGGTTGAGGACCACTACTTTTTCTGTGCCCTGGCTTGCACAGTTTGAAAATAATGCTTATACTGAGCTGGATCCCAGTGTTGCCTTCACAGGGTGTCTGTCGTGCAGCAGTACAGCGCTGCTGCTCCCTCCAACCCCAAAATGTGTGTGCCTAAGTCACGTCCCTAAGCCCTGTCCCAAGAAGTGACACAGTGGCCGGCATCTACACTGTTGGCTTGCAGGCTACCCATCCTGAGTTTTGCTAAAGAACACTGCCTTGCTCCCCGTCAGTAAACAAGGTTACCTACCTCAAAAGGCCGCTCTGAGAGCAAATGCAGTATTTTCAGAATGATTTATTTTTTCAGTTGTAAAGACTTATGCCATTGGCTGCTCTTTCTAGCCCCCTAAATTTCTGTTCTAGTTTTAAATTTCTCTAGAATTTGCAATCGTTGGGGTTTTATAATTTTTACAGTGTTTATTTTGTAAACACTTAACATTTCTCAGCTGTTGGCTCACACCTGTAATCCCAGCATTTTGGGAGGCCAAGGCGGGAGGTCACTTGAGGCCAGGAATTCAAGACCAGCCTGGGCAGCATAGTTAAACCCCATCTTCACAAAAAATGTTTAAAAACTTTGCCAGCTGCGGTGGTGCACAACTGTGATCCCAGCTACTCATAGCGGGGCTGAAGTGGGAAGATTGCTTGAGCCCAGAGGGTCGGGGCTGCAGTGAGCTGCAGTCATACTGCTGCACCCCAGCCTGGGCAACAGAATGAGACTCTGTCTCAAAAACTTTTTCTCAATTCAAATATTGAAAATATAACTTTTATAAGCTCCAAATCACAACATCTAGTATACATTCTGACAGTGATGTTTTTAAAGGCTATATATATATATTTAATAAAAATAATATAGAGGTTTTTGTTTTCTTCTCAAAATGTGATCTGTCGAGTCCAGTAGAGTTAAATGGTAAAATGAATTTTTTTTTTTAAATGTGATCTGGTTATCTCCTTACTGGGATACTATGTTTTTAAAGTTAAAGCCCAAAATAATGAAATTCTTTACACTAGAATCTCAGAAAAAAAGTGTCTAATCTTGATATGGGTTTGTTCTCTGGATCCAGTTTTAGCTCATGAAATTTGATTGCAGTTTCTCTCTAAGCTATACCAGTTAGGGGAGAGTGAAGAAATACCCACAACATAAAGCAATCTTGAGACTCCTAATATGTTTATGGTGCGGTGCTGATAAACCAGCTGTAATTTCAAAGTAAAAAAATACTACTACTACTCAGTCTCTAGATTGTTAACACTGAAAAGCAGTGTGTGTGGCTGACATTTTCTCCACAGAAATCAATTAGCTTTTGCTGTTTTTTACATTCATAGAGAACTGGTTAGATTTCTGTATACTGTTAAATGATGTCAGTATGCTTTTTCTAAGCAACCATTGAAACTTCCAGCACCAGCGGCCAGTTGCTGTGGCTCACACCTGCAATCTCAGCACTGTGGGAGGCCACAGGGGGTGGATTGAGCCCAGGAGTTTTAGACCAGCTTGGGCAACATGGTGAAACCCCACCTCTACCAAAAATACAAAAAAACTAGCTGGGCATGGCGGTGTGTGCCTGTGGTCCCAGCTACAGGGAAGCTGAGGCAGGGTTGAGGCTGCAGTGAGGCATGATTGCACCACTGCACTCCAGGCTGGATGATGGAGCGAGCCTGTCTCAAGAAAAAAAGAAACTTCAAGCACTACCAAATGTGCCAAATAAATCTGACTCTGACGCCAAAGTGAAGCTGTCAATGTAATGAAATGTTAAGGTGGCCATAGGATAGTCCTTTTAATAATAAAAGCTTCCATGTAAAACCAAAATAAAGGTCAGTATAGAAAGTATCATGGGGTATATATAATAAACTGAATTTTTGGCTTCCAATCCAAACTGGACCAAATGGTATGTTTATTTCAAACAAAGAATTTGCCATGGACAAGATCCGTCTGGCTTAGTATGAGTTAGAAGTATGCCCTGCCGTATTTCCACATAGCTAGTATGGAAGAGGAAGATTAAGTGTTGCAAAATTGTTTTAGGAGCTATTTTGGTCCATTCCTTATCAACGCCATGTGTGATTTAAAGTTATCTAAAGGACATGTGATTGGATTTCTGACTAACATCAAGTTCCTCTCATCATAACAAGCCGATTCAAATCTTAAGCAGTGATTCCTAGGAGATACATCCAAGGGGGAGCTCCCTCACTGAACAGCCAGAAGATTGCATTTTCTCTTCAGAGTATAATTTTCCATCATTAGGGCAAGTCTGAGTAAAAATTTCAACCTACTACAAAATACATTCGAGTAGTTTTCAAGTATTTCTCACTCGATCACCAAAATGGTGTAAGAGAATTTGTTGAAAACCACAAAGTTCACAGCTGGGATTAATTTAAATGACCTAATGGTTAATATGCTCAATTGTGCACTCCTCTGCAGATGGGATGCGATGGAAACCAAAGATTTCCTTAAGGCAAGCACTCCACAACTAGTTTTTTGTTAATTCTTGGGTAAATCACATTCTGTATTCATACAAAAACTTTTATGTTTTTCTCTGACAAACTGTACACATAGAAACAAATTTCCAAATGGACAGGAACTTAAATTTGTGGAGGTGCCCCATGTCTTGCGAGACTTAAAAAAAAAAAAAAAAAAAGATCCCAGCTTTTATCTTCACAAAACAACATGGGAGTTGGGGCAATGAGGGTGGACAGGACAGGACAAGGCCAGCCACGCTGGTGGCCAGCAGCAGTCTCTTCATCTTGAAGACCTCATTGAGGGTTCCTGGGATTCAGGTGCCCAGAAAAGAGTTCAGGGCTACAATGGTGCAGGCTTCCTTTTGTTTCTCTTGGTAAGTCCACAAGTTCTTAAATACTGTCCAGAGAGGCCTCGGGTTACTCAGTTCCAACTTCTACCGACCCCTTCCACCACCCCGAGAAGCTCCTCGCCTCGGTGGGCCAGAGTTCATGTTACTCCCTCTACCCCAGTTACTGCCACTCCGGCCGCCTCGAGAAGGGGTGCCACTGCCTGGAGGGCCCCCGAAAGGTTCATCTCTGTGGTATCCATCGTGGTGCTCTCCGTCTAACGAGCTGGAACGCCCAGATTTGGGCACTCTCTGGGCAGGTCCTGGGCCCCCTCGGCCTGAAACAAAGAAAATTTCAGATGGGACTTTTTGTGTTTTGTCAATAACTCCCTGTACAAACTTCTACTCTCTGCTGACAGTGGGCCGCTTCTGGTGGGTGTCGGGGAGACGGACAGTGGTATTCAGAGCACTGAGAGCTGTGCCTCTGCCCTTTCCTGACCCTGCCCCTCCGTTCCCGGCTCATGGCCATGGGCTGAACATCAGCTAGATCCGTGTCCCCAGGGCTGTGTGACAGACCACAGGAAGCCAGGAGATGAGCGCAGAGCACCTTCAGGGAGACCCGCCCCACGCTCCTGGGCCATGTCCCAGGCCATTGTGAGCGTCTACCCGCTCCTAGCCACCAGAGTATGCTGAGGGAAGGTTTGAATACACTGACTTAACTTTGGAAGGACGTGCTGTTGATGTTAATAAAATGTGCTCCAACTAGGATGAGTATTTTCTGTGACTGTCCCATGACATGCGGCACTTTTGGCTTCTTTTTCGTAATTAGTAAAATAAAATATTTCTTGAAAAAACAAAAGAAAAGCACAAAAAACCCACAAAACATTGGCTTTCATGTTATATCACCCAGGGATAGCTTAACCTGCTTCAGACTTGTACACACAAATGTTGAGGTACTATTAAAATTATTTCATTCTGTTGGAGCTTGAAAATACTCTTTTAAAAACAAAAGAAAAAAAAATTCTACCTTGTAAGATTGTTTTCCTCAGAAAATGACATGATTTGGTCACATCTCCCATAATGCACTCTCAGACTATAGCCAACTGTTCTCTCATATTTTGTAATAGAATATGAATCTAGGTGAGATGAAGTTAGGAGAGACAGCCAAAGGAACAATCTTGGCTTCTTTTCTTCCAAAGTGCAGCTTCAGCCCACCTGAGGGCAGCTGGGCAGAGTGTCAGCTACTGCGTCATTCCCATCTATATGCATGTCCTTGGCCAGACGGACCTAACTACGGTGTGCCGAGTGCCCAAGAAAGTCAGCCAAGGTCATGGTGCACGGGCTAGTAGTACGATGTGTTTATGCAGGAGATCTATTGATGATACATGAGGTAATTTCTGAGGGTTTTGTTGAGAAAAACAACTATCTAGACCACATGGCAGGCCAGGCATGGTAGTTCATGCCTGTAATGCCAGCACTTTGAGAGGCCAAGGCAGGTGGATCGCTTGAGGCCAGGAATTTGAAGCCAGCCTGGCCAACATGGCAAAACCCCACCTCTCTAAAAACACAAAACTTCGCCAGGTGTTGTGGCGCACACCTATAGTCCCAGCTACTCTGGAGGCTGAGGCACACAAATCACTTGAACCCGGGAGTCAGAGTTTCTTGCAGTGAGCTGAGATCACACCACTGTACTCTGGCCTGGGTGACACAGTAAAATTATATCCCCAAAAACAACCCAAAAGACCAAATGGCAGAACTCTGTGCTGGAAGGACCGTCCACACAGACAGGCTAACTCCAGAAGCAGAGCACAAGCTGGGGCATGCAGGCAGCAGCCTTCCCAGAAGCCTCTGACCGCCCCGCCCATGACCTGCCCCGCAGCCCTGCGAACAGTTGTAGTCAGGCTTCACAGGCGACTACTCTTCCTAAAGTTAGTGCTGCCTATAAAATAAAGCTCCAGAGTTTCCAGCAGGGGACATAATCTACTGTGTCCCTGGAAATACTGCCCATAGACCATGTTTCCCAAAGTCTTTGTGACCTTGGACACCAACGGTGTTCCTCTAGACCCGGGCTGAAAAACTCAGCAGAGAACCCAGGAGAGGACAACTCTTCCCCTCACACTGAGAGCCCTTGAGGGTTCCAAGCAGCCTTCACGGAGAGCAGACTGCCAATGAGAGCAGGGCTCCCAGAGACAGGCCCAGCAGAGAGTACTGGGGCATCTTGGCAGAGGGCTGAAATAAAACTTCGAGTGAGCAGGGATTCTTGGAGGCAACTGGAGTCGTCTGTGGGCCCGAGCTGCAGTTCACTGGATGACAGCTCGTGTGGCACTAGCACCACATTTGGGAGGGCGTGCCTCTGCACAGCCCAGGCCTCCATCGGCCCCTGCAGCTCCTGGAACCGTAACCACTGGCCTGCTCTTACCTTTGCCTCCTCGGTCCTCAGAAGGGCCCCCTGGGGCCTCCATCTCTCTGTGCTCAGACGTGCCTGGGCCATCATGCCAGGGGCGCTTTCGGGGAGGTAGGGATGCCATGTCCATGCCTTGGAGAGAAGAGGAGCGTTCTCTGCTGGCTGGGGAATGACCATCGTGAGGTGGATGATCAGGGCGGGGAGCATCACGAAAATGTTCATGACCTGGCCCTGAAAAAGGAAACAAATCTCCTTACAGGAAAG